TGTTTCAAAGCATAATAAAGTCATTTATTAAAGCTGTTCTATTATATACTTCATATTTAGTGGCGAGTAATTCTCTCAGATTTGGATGAATATTCTAAAGGAATTCGTAAATTCTTTCCTGAAAAGCATTATATTCTTTCCTCAGAATTCAAACATCTCTATGTTGCCATAACCAGAGCCAGAGAGCATCTCTGGATTTTTGAAGAGGATGTGAATTTGAGTGAGTCAATCCGTACATACTGGGTTCGCAAAAATCTAGTGGAAGTAACGAATGAAATCGACATTTCTACCTTAACTAAGACTAGTAATCCGTCTGAATGGAATTATGAGGGTAAGAAGTTTTTTGAGCAACGGAAGTATGTACAGGTAAGCTCAAAATATTCAGTGCTATGCAAAATGAGCTGAGTTACTAAATGAAAAAGGATCACCCTTAGGCTATTTTCTGCTTCAAAAAGAGTGGAAATGAGGAAAGTTTAAAGCTAGCTCGTGCGTACCATCTTCAACAAGTTGCTAGAACTTCTTTCTTAACCGGTTCTAATGAAAAAACAGTGAAGTCCAATTTCGTAACTGCCGCTCAAGCCTTTGAAGAATGTTCCCGGTTGCCACAGGCGGCTTCATGTTATGAGGTATAACTTCGAAACTTTGATGTATTATCATGAATACGTAGTTTCAATTGCACTTGAAAGCTTTCACGATTATATTTACAATTTATAATACTTTCAGAGCATAGGCATGTATAAAAAAGCTGGTGATATCTATTCTGTATCAAAAATGTTTGAGCCTGCCGCACGTTGTTATCTTGAAGTCAAGATGTGGAACGTAGCAGGAGAGTATTTTGAAAAGGCGAAATTGTACAATCATGCAGCCCTTGCCTATAAAGATGGCAACCTTAATGATATGATAACTGATTTGATTCAGAGGTAAGCTTGCTTGATATTTTTACAACTTCCTCATAAAAATCTTCAATTTGTTGTCAATTCATTAAAAAAATTAGTGTAACGCTTGTCTAACTATTTAAACAGACAATACATCAACGATGAAACCATCCGACAAATCAATAACCACTTTCGTAATGAAGCAGAAAAACTTATTTCACATAATAAGATTGAAGAGGCTGCCGATATGCTAAACCGTTCGGTTGCTGATGACGAAAATACAATCGAAGCGTATAAGTACCTATTTCGCCTTTGTAGAGATAATGTACTTGAAGAGTTATTTACAGGCTCAATTACCCGGAAAGAATTATGTAGGCTCCAGTCCAAAGCGGCCAAGACTATCTCAAAAGTTGCAAATCTTTCTATACAGAATAGACTGACGGAGCAGTCTCAGCTATATATTTCCTTTTTAAATGAAAAACTCAATATTTATGATATGGTAACTGAATTGACTCAAAGGTAAACTTAAAGCTACCTGTATGATTCTGTAAATTTCTCGTAAGAACATTTATTTTCGACTGTAACGCTTGTCTAAACTATTAAATAATAGATATAGACGAGACTTCAACGACAAAACGATCCGTCAACTCAATTTCCACTTTCGCAAAGAAGCAGATAAGCTTCTATCGAATAATAAGTTCGAAGAGGCTGCCGATATGCTTAACCATTCGGTTGATAATGACGAAAATTTAATTAATGCGTCTCGGCAGCTATTTCGTCTATGCAGAGTTATAGTACTGAAGGAGATATTTACAGGTTATATAAGCTCAATTTCCCTACAGGATTTATGTAGACTCCAATCTAAAGCGGATTATGCTATCTCAAAGTTTATAAATAAATCTAAACAATGGATGAGCTTCATGCATGAGTCTCGGTTATATTCTTCTTATTTCAATAATAGTCTCGATATTTATGGTTTGGTAGGCGATTTGATTCAGAGGTAAACACGTAACCTGATAGATTTTGTAAATTCTTTATACAAATTTTCCATTCATTGTCAATTCATAAATGTTACTTAAAATATTTAGGCATAGGCAAGACATCGACGATAAAACGATTCGTCTACTCGATGTCCTCTTTCGAAAAGAAGCAGAGAAACTTCTTTCGCATAATAAATTCGAAGAGGCTGCCGACATGCTTAACCATTCGGTTGATAATGATGAGAATGCAATTGATGCATCACAGTACCTATTACGTCTATGCAGAGATATTGTACTGAAAGAGATATTTGCAGATTACGTAAGCTCAATTGCTCTTCAGGATTTATGCAGACTCCAAACTAAAGCGGCCGATGCTATCTTAAAAGTTATAAGTAAATCTAAACTATCGAAATGTCTGATGGAAGAGACCCATTTATATAATTCTTATTTAAATAATGATCTCGATATTTATAGTTTAGTAGCCGATTTGATTCAGAGGTACTTAGAAGTAAACTGACTGATTGATTTTATAAATTCCTTATAAGAATTTTCCATTATTGTCAATTCATAAAAATAATAGTAACTCTCTTAAATATAAAATTAGGCACAGACAAGACATGGACGATAAAACGGTTCGTCAACTCGATATCCTCTTTCGCAAAGAAGCAGAGAAACTTCTTTCACATAATAAATTCGAAAAGGCTGCCGACATGTTGAACCGTTCGGTTGATAATGATGAGAATGCAATAGATGCGTCGCAATACCTAGTACGCCTTTGCAGAGTTAACGTACTGAAAGCGTTAGTTATAGG